TGTGGTGCAGGCTATGCGGTGCAATCCACATAGGACAAGCAAGCGGTGTGCTGCAAGCGACGTGGTGCAATACGTGTGGTGCAAGCTACGTGTGCAGGCTGTGCGGCGCGAGCTGGGCAACGCAAGCTATGCGATGCCAGCCGTGTGATGCAGCCCATGTGACGCGCACGCGGTAGAATAGAGAATCCAGCCAGCGCACTTATATTGCATCCTCGGGGGGCCGTGTCTGTCCCCTCTCGGCCCTGTCCGCGTCGAATCGGTGTCGAATCCGTGTCGGACTCGTCGGATCCGTGTCGAGCCCGTGTCGAATCCGCGTCGAATCCACGCCAGCTCCGCGACGAGTCCACATCGAGCCCGCCTCGGGCACAAGAAAAGACACGAATTTGGGGGACAGGCGAGGTCCCCCGAAGATGCAACGTAAGCGCACGTGGCGGCCACAAGGAACACGGGCGGCCGCTGAGCGAAAGCCTGGAGGCCCATGCCAGCGCAAAAACAAAAAAAAAAAACGGCCACGAGGCGGCCACGAGGCGGCCACGGGTGGCCATCGGGCGGAACCCCGGAAGCCCATGCTGGTCCAGGGGCCGGGTCCTACACTCGGCTGGCCAGGCCGAGCGGCAAGAATCTCTCCACAAAGCTGCGTCCAGCGAGGGTGACGATCGGTCTGCCACCCGCCTCTTTGCCAGAGACGGCCGAGGCCCTCTGTGGCACGGGTGCCACTCCAGAGACAGAGCAAGAACTCCTTGGTGAGAACACCGCTGGGGGAACAAGGTAGCTTCAGCTTGAGCCTCGATGGAGGCGGCACGAGACAGGCTCGTGAACAAGTAAGGGGGACCTCTGCGACGAGAGACCGAGAAACAAGTCAAGATGATGATGGAAGTCCCATCGAGCCCAGAGGCCCTAAGCTAGGTCAGCTCGTACATGACAGGTGCTTCAGGGGACGTCGTGCTCCGTGGTCTTTTTTGGTTATTACCTGTGCCGACAGGATGAAGAGCTATCACGAAAGGTCCAGGGAGCGGCCCTGGAAAGCTCCACGAGAGTGGGACGGCTGCCGAAAAAGGCTGGAGGCGCTACCAACAGGAACGCAAATTGTTCTTGCGAGGCATGAGAGGGGACGAGGGGACCTACACAGATGCGAGGCTCGCGCCAGGCTTTAAGGGCCTACCGAAGAATCTTGTCACCAGCTGGCATCCGAAACGCACGACAACGGAGCGAAGAACTTTCTCGGGCGTGTGGCCTTGCTGCCGCCGGCCCGACAACCGATGATGCATGCGACGAACCCCTTAGATAAGCTCAGGGATAGGCTAGTACACCGCAGGCGCAAGATTGGATAGAACATGGGCGAGCGTCTAGTCCACGAAGCTACACTGAACGAAGGGAACGGAGTTGGCTTTTGAACGGCGCTGTGAGGAGCGGCTGCAGGAGCACTCACAGGAGCCGACAGCCAGGCAAGCAGCTCAGAACCTTGACGAATAGTTTCAAGACCCATGCGGACAGAAGGCACGACCTCGGTGGAGAAGACCTCGAGCAGGATGTCGATGATCATGCGCGAAGTTACGCGCTGCCACGTCACTGGCGGGAGACGTGGCAAACGAAGTCAACCCCGACGGCAGGCGACCTGGAGAGTCGGCTACGACCTTGGATGTGCTGCGTGGAGTGCTGCTGCGATCGAGCGGTCGAGGAGTGCTCGGCCATCCTGGCTAGTACCCGCAACAAGCTTTCATGTAGGGTGATCGCCAAAGCCCCTCGGACGCAGTAGGGTGGCAGGACCTGATTGACCGTATCGAGGCACACAGAATGAACATGCTCATGGAGGATACTAATTCAACTCACTGGTTGTACAAGCACGTCAGCACGTACGGTGGCAACGGATACGACGGACAACAGCAGGAGTTACCCGCGTTGGTGGATGAGCAGGCCGACCGGGAGGGAGCCGAGCTCAAGGACCTGGTCCAGGTCGATGCAGCCCAGAAACATGCACTGAAGGCCCTGCAGAAAGACCGACAAGCAGGTACGACAGATGGTCGAGATCGAGGCTTCGGCAAGGGCGGGAGAGAACTACGCCAAGTCGGCGGTAAAGGATCCAGATGAAACCCAGCTATGTGGACGCAGTCATGGGACGACCCTCAAGGAGTCATACCTGAGTTCGACGAGGAGGTCTACGCGATCATGAAGGGCAAGGGCTTCAGGCGCGTTTATGGTCCAAGTGCGGCGTCGATCGCCAGGCTCGCGACGTGACATTCGGAAGGCCCGGAGAAGCAACAGCGCGAAGGGCGCTCACACTATGACGATTGCGACCCTCTACCTGTCATCCCGCGCTGCGGAGATGGGCAAGATGGGGGACGGCTTCGGCATTGCACACATCGAAGCCACTGCTTGTGCAGGGAGCGAAATGGCCACACGGAACACGACCGAGCTCTACACCAGGTCGAAACGATCAGTGAGCTGATCGGAGAGCATCGCCGAGGGAAATGTTCTCCCGGCCTCGAACTCTGAAATGGACGCCGCAGTAAACCGTCAAGCTGATTAACGCGGGGGACTTCGTAGAGCTTCCAACGACAATCGATCTGAAGAAAGCCCAAAGGCACCCGATCATGCAACTCAGCAGTTGCAGTAGTGTAGTAGTTTTCCAATCTAAGAGACTGCTATAGACGGTACTGAAAGAACTTCGAGGACGACGCCCGCCCTCACAACAGTCGGTGAACGAAGACAAGCCTGTACCCGTACAGGTCGAGAATAATTCCCTCAGGCCGTCGGGCACTATTCGAGGCGTGGCCACTGACAGGTGCGTCAACACAGAGATGCCCATCGATGGGAGGGGCCACTTCATGACGGATGCGGCCGGGGATATGAAAGGAATCCCACCAGCCCTCTGGGCGTCGGTGGTTTAGAGCGTTTCCTCTTCCACCCCTCCCTCTTCCCCTTCGGGGAGGGGTTTACCCCTCCCCCTACCCCCTCCCCACTGACCTGGACAGGAGGGGCGGGGAGCGGTCAGAGCGTCCAAAACGGCCTCGCCGAGGAAGCCAAAATCATTGATTTTACTATGGTTTTGGCCCCATTTTGGCCTTCTGAGGGGGCAGGGCTAATTAAAGCTCCCCTCTTCTTTGAACAATCATTGATTTTACTAAGGTTTTGGCCCCATTTTGGCCTTCTGAGGGGGCAGCGCTAATTAAAGCTCCCCTCTTCTTTGAAGCCAAAATCATTGATTTTACTTAGGTTTTGGCCCCATTTTGGCCTTCTGAGGGGGCAGCGCTAATTAAAGCTCCCCTCTTCTTTGATCGATTTCCTCCAAGATGGCCCCAAGAAGCGCCCAGGAGGCACCAAGAGGCCCCAAGATGGCCCCAAGAGGCCCCCAGGAGGCCCCCAAGAGGATCCCAAACGGCCCAAAGAGGCCCCCCCGAGGCACCCAAGACGCCGAAAAGCCCCTCAGGACGACCCTCTACTCGCCTGGGCGTCGTTTCTGGACGGGCTGGTGGGGATACGCGAAGCGTCTAGAATTTCTTTACCGTTGGTGAGACCATAGCATCCACAAGGTGGCTCGCTTGGTTGACCAATGTGATGGGTTCAGCAGCACAGGATCTCAGTCGAGGGACTGGCAGGACCTTTACACAAGACCTGACACTCCCCACGAGCCTTCTGGGGCCCCAGATCGTGGGCACGGCAGCCGAGCGCACGGCTTCCTGCGGCTGAGCTTCCACAGCGAGCAACGCCGATGAGGCGCTGACACTGAGGGTGTCTGCGGACGACCCGACTGCGCAGATGCCGAGGCGGCGCAAGCAGATCCATCTTCAACGCCAGCAGCACTTGGAATCATCATGTGTGTAAATCGTATACCATAACAATAACAAACAACATTATAATAAGAAAAACAACAATTATACTGATGTATGTAGAAATACTAAAAAGAATGATACGAATAGTAATGATAACAATAATGATACTAATAATACTAAAAATGATAATAGTGATAGTGAAAAGACGAAAAACAATAATCATAAAATAAAAACTATATTAATAATGATGATGATGATGATGATCACAACAATAGTCGTGGTACGACTGCAAATACGAATAACAATAACAATGATAGCACAAGTAAAACTGATAGCAAAGTAACCATGGTTAATATTATTATTCAAATGTATGTATGGGAACGAAAAAACTTGGCATCATCCGCCGCGACATTGCGAGCACCGACGGCGCCGCAGCGGAGCCCCAAGCAGGCCCACCCCGACGCCCGAAAGGGCCCCGGCGCCCATGAAATCTCCAGGAGGGCCTCCAGAGGATCCCACGATATCCCACCCAAACATACCCCGAATACAGTGGGGGCCCGACCACAAGAAACCTTTTACGGGAAACCCAACCTTGAGACCCCAGGGCGCCCATCGATGTTTGATGTGGGAACGCCACGCCTTCCATGGCAAAGCCACCGAAACCCAAGAAACCCAGGGCACCCTGGAGGCAAGAAAGGTGTTTCTTGGCATGGGTCTCCACTGTATCCGAAAATATCCCGATACCCAAATCCCCCAATTTCCTCCAAAGACGCGGGCATCAAGGCGACGAGACCTCCGCCGAGCCGAGCAGTCGCGCGATCCGCTAGGCGAACTGCTTGGGAGAGTGACGCGCTGGTGCCTGGGACTGTTTGCAGCACGGAGTACAGATGGCCAGTCGACACTCCTGCCCCTCTGATCCTGGCCTCCTTCACTCCGCCTCCTGGCACTTACCACGCTCTCCCTCACTGCTCCCCCTGTCCCTCCTCCGTATCTCATCGATATTGCTCCTTCTCCTCCTCCGCATTATGTTCCTCCTCCTCGTCCTCCTCCTCGTCCTCGTCCTCCTCCTCCTCCTCCTCCTCCTCTTCCTCCTCCTCATCATCATCAGCATCATCCATAATTGTGCCCTGCCCAAACCACCCGAGCAACACATGACATTGCAGCGAATTCCTTATCCTGGGGGCTACCAGAATGGACACAGAATCTCAAGACTCAACACTGCGAGCGACTCTAGGCAGCTCTACCTTGGGCCCTGTGAGAGGGATTCGTCGTGTCCCATCGAAAAACACTGGCCTGAACTGATCGGGGACCTCGTCGCCCATGACAGCGCTGTTCCAAACCTGTGTTGCGCTGGTCGCACTGGTTTTCAATCAGCTGCAACTCCCTCGCGGGCTCTGGGAAAGCGACTCGCACTGCCCCATCGAAGAGCGCAGGCCTGAATCGCTCGGGAACCTCATCACCCATGATAGCGCTGTTCTGATGCAGTCTGATATTACGTTCTATGCCCTGCGTCCGAGACAGATCGACAGAACATATCTTCGTAGACGGGACAGGCCAATCCCTGAAGCCATTGAAGGCAAGCATGAAGCGCTGCACCTCCTCTGTGGAAACCAGATTCACGAACGCATATCCTTTGCTTGCGTGGGTTCGGAAATCGGCAGGTACGTACACAAAGTTGTACAGCCGCGCAAATCCTTTCGAGTCCATCTCTTTGATCAGATCTTCGCGTTGGAAAGAGCAGGGCAGATTGCGCAGTATCACCGTGGTGCGCTCGTCGCACTGATGGGGCATCTGCTGCAGCTCCCGCGTGGGCAGCGGAAATGGGACTCGATCTGTTCCGTCGAAGAGCACGGGCCTGAACCACTCGGGAACCCCATCGCGCATGACAGCGCTGTTCCGATACAGCCTGATATTTTGTTCGATGCCCTGCGTCCGAGACAGATCGACAGAACAGATCTTCGTAGACGGGACAGGCCAATCCCCGAAGCCATTGAAGGCAAGCATGAAGCGATGCACCTCCTCTGTGGAAACCAGATTCACGAACGCATATCCCTTGCTTATGCGGGTCTGGAAATCGATTGGTATGTACACAAAGTTATCCGCCGGGACCCACTTGCCAGGCGTGAGAAAGGCGGGCAAAAACATCTGGCTGTTTCCCTCCCGAAGTTCTTCCCCCCTGAGGGTCCAAAATCGCGTTTTGACGGGGGAGGCGAGCTCACCAACACACTTCACGGGGCCCCAAGGGCCTCCAAATGCACCCCCCGACGCCTCAGAGATGCAAGATGCCTTCCAACACGTGCAAGCAGATCTCCAAAACGCCGAAGAACCATAAGCAGACCCAAGATGGCCCCGAGACGACCCAGAAGACCCCCGAGACGCCACAAGAGAACCTCAAGAGAAACCCCCAGAGGGCCTCGAGGCGCCAAAATCATGGCTCTACATTGCAGAATGTTAGTGCTCTCGCAGTTTCGGGCTTCCGAAAGCTCGGGGGCGGCCAAGAGGGGGCGTCCAAGAGGGGGGGGATGGGGGGCGCAAATCATGGCCGGCAGCATGTGCGCGGCCCAAGGGGGGGGGGGGGGGACGGGGACGTATTGAAATGAGAAGAGACGCCGTGAAATTTAGGAAGATATCATGGCCCCCGCCATGACATCCAGCCCCCCCGTAGCCATCACCCCCCTCTCTGGCCGCCCCCGAGAAGCCCAAGGTGGCCCCGCAAGCCGCTGGACTGGCCCCGAGGCAGCCCGCGAGGCTCTCCGAAGAGAGGCCCCGCGGCGGCCCCGCGCGGGCCCCACGACGGCCCAAGGCGGCCGAAGAAGGCCGCAAGAGGGCCCCCGGAGGCGCTTCAGAGGCGGCGCTCCAAGGAGCTCCGGGATGCCAACCCCCCAAGATCAGGAGAGCCCAGAGTTGAATCGATGAGTCGGGTCGGTGATCGAAACGAAATCGAATCGGCGGAGATCGGCAGCCGAGTCGGGAAAGGTCGAATCGGCGGAAATTCGGCAGGCAGGCGTGCGTGCAACAAGAAATCGGAACCCAAATCGGAATCCCAAGTCGAATCGAATCGGAATCGGAGGTCATCGAAATCGAATCATCCTCCTCCCTCTCCCTCCTGCTCCTGCTCCTGCTCCTCCTCCTCCTCCTCCTCCTCCTCCTCCTCCTCCTCCTCCTCCTCCTCCTCCTCCTCCTCCTCCTCCTCCTCCTCCTCCTCCTCCTCCCCGTCTTCCTCTTCTTCCTCCTCCTCCTCCTCCTCTTCCTCCTCCTCCTCCTCCTCCTCCTCCTCCTGGAGTCGAAATGAGCCCTGCAGGATGGGCCCCCCTGGCCCCCCAGCATGCCCACAAGAGGCCCCGGGCCCCTCGGGGCTCCAGGAGGCCCCCGGGCGGCTTCCAGACCTAAAGATTCGCGAAACTCCTTTACCGGAGAAGTCTCCTCCGCCTCTTCTGTCCAGCCCCCTCTACGAACAGACGACCATCTGGACGTCAATGCTCCAAAGGGGTCCACCACGCAACCCCAATGAGGCTGCGAAGAGGCTTCTGAAACACGACCCAGACGCAACCGGACCCTGCAAAACACGTCACGGTTCTGCTCCTTTGGGGGGGTCGGCGAAATGGCGAAGCCTCGTGAATAAAGCCCCGCAAAGCCTTTCGCGTCCATCTCGTTGATCAGATCTTCGCGTAGGAGGGCGCCAGGCAAATTCTGCAATATCACCGTGGTGTTTTCATCGTGATGGCGTTCCATCTGCTGCAGTCCCATCCGCAGAAACTCGTCATACTGAGCGTAGGGGATCCAGTTATACGACATCGACGTATCAGAGGGCATCCGCCACGGATACTCCCAAGAATCCAGATCTTCCCTAGAGTTCGGGACAAATGCCGATGCCTCTCTGCGCAGAAACGTTCGCTCGGTGGCAGCGTGCACCGCGGACGTCTCCTCTTCGACATCGCATGCGTCGCCATGGCTGATCGCAGCATCAACCGAGACGTGACACATCCTCCCAGCTTCATCAGTTGAGCCTTTCATGTCGGCCACTACACACTGGCACGCGGCCGAGCTCAACGTGCAGCCTTGCTCCTGCAACTCTTTAAAAAGGTTCAGGACCTGCTCGGGAAGCTTGCTTTCCCAGGCGTGGACCAAACGATCCTGGAGAATATGCGGCGGCTGGATCCCATGACCCCGAACAGTTAGGAGAACATTCAGGGAGTCCCTCCGCAAACGCTCATTGTCGAGCTGCCCCGCAACGAGCTTGAAGAACCCGCTGCTGATATCCTTCTGTAGCGCGTCCGGCTTGTAGTCGCAGTCCATGCTCTCCTCAAGAATTCGCTCCAAAAGCTTCAGCGCCATGGCCGCATCACTATTCCTAACGCATTCGAGCATCGACGCCAGACATGCAGGTGAACCGGGCGCTACGCTTCCCGGTCGCGCCGGCTCGGCGGCACGCGCGTCGATCACCGACGGCTTGCTCGAGAGACCCCCGCTTCCTGTGGGGATTCGTGTGCCTGCGGAGCTGTGGGAGGCATGCCGTAGGACCTTCCATGACGTCTGGGGCGACTCGGCCTGGTGCTCTGCGGTATGCGCCGCCTGGCTGCCCCCGAACTCACCTTCGGATTGGGCCACGGGGGTCGTGCCCTCGGGCTGGCTTGACCTCCCTGCCGCCCGCACGGCCTCGTGCTTGCACTCGTTACCAGTGCCCCCAGTCTTGACGGACTCCTTCGCTGGAACCACGTTGGAACTTCCGACTGCCGCTTGCTTATGCCACGTGTGTACAAAAGCAGCGGCGAATAAGACACTCACGCACAGGAGTACGAGTTCTTCGAACACAGCATGCTGCTGCGCCTCGCAGAGCTGGGACAGCAAGGAGACGAGCAAGTCGCTTATAGCGCACACGGTGGCAAAGAAACCGACAGTGTCCATGTAATACTGGCGATTCGCACTGCGCACAGAAGTCATCGTATACCTGGGATACCGCGTCCTTGCTACGGAAAGAGAAAACAGGCCATGCGAACGTAGAACGGGCGCAGGGATGTGAGGCCGGGGTGATGGTTGAGCCGACACGGCTGCGGATGATGAAGGGAGAGGGGTGACAGGACAAGCGAGGCGCGCTCGCGCCGTGTCTGACACCCGACCCCTCGCACGCATCCCTTCCTGTTGCGCTGTGCGCTCTCTGTCCGCCGGACGCGTGCCGCAACGGACCCGGAACTCCCAAGGAGACCTCCTCAGGTTCAGCGCAGTCAGACGATTGGCCCGGCGAGGGGCCCAACCAGATGCAGCTGTGGATACCGTCCTTGTGAGTACTGTGGTCAGTGGATCTTCTTTCGGGGCCACGAAGCGCGTGAAGGGCGCGCCGAAATGTGGCGGGACCGCCATGCGGGCGCTGTCACTGGGGCTGAAGGTTGAGCTCTCTATGGGGCCACGACACGTGTGAGGGGTTCACGGAAATGGAAAGTAAGCCGCACGCGGGCGCTGCCACTGGAGCCTTCGGTGGAGCCCCCTTGGTGGCCATGAAGCGTGTGAGGGGTGCTCCGAGATGGGGGTGGAACCGCATGCGGGCGCTGCCACTGGGGCCTTCGGTGGAGCTCCCACTAGGGCCACGAAACGCGCCCAGGTAGGGCCAAACCTGTTTTACGCAGGAGGCGCCGAAAGGGGAGCAGCCGAAAAGGCGGCGCCACCAGTCGTGGTGCCCGGCTGGGGCGACAGCAGTCGTGAAGGAGCAGCCAGGGGGGGCATCTGCTTGCGACCTCTTCCCCCGCGGCTAGGCCTACCAGAGCGGTCAGGAGCGGGGTGGGAAGGAAGGAGATCATGGGGCTCCTTGCGATGGGCCTGGACGGGGAGGTCCTGTAGGAGGGCAGCCGTGACGGGCAGCCCATGGGGCAGGAGTAGACCCGGGCACCGGTGCACGTCTACTAGCAGTCCAGCGGCGCGAGGCGCCCAGGGCAGGGCGATCGAGGCACGCAGGGCCCAAGGACCTCCACCTGCCAGTCGCAGGCGGCACAGTTGGCTACGGTCTCAATTGCAGGGTCATACCCCATGCCCCCTAGTAAGGGCGACGCCGCGCCGCCCATGCCTACCGACCGAAGTAGCTTCCCAAGCGGGGGCCTGTGAACTTACCATTGCGGGCTTGGACGCGGCGCCCAGACATAAGTGCCCCGATGGCCCGTTGGAGCCCGGGAGGTGGCTGCCACAGACGCAGGAGACGGCCCATCCACTGCAGTGAGACACGTTCGAAAGCCTTGTTTTGATCGCAGAAGATGACTGCAGTGCTTGGGGCGGGACCGACCTCCTGCAAAGCTGAGTGGATGTAGGTCTCCACCACTTGCTGGAATGGACCGAGGAGGGCGCTCCAGGCGTCGCCTGGCCCTGGGTCTTGCGTGGGGGTAGTGCCTAGGTGGGTGGCAACCCTGGTAATGTTAGTGCCGCATTGCCTTCCCTTCTTTGCAGCCTGGTTAGGGCTCACCAGAGGTTCCGCGACTTCCCCTAGCCTTTCAGCCAGCGTGGCTCCGAAGCGCCGCACGGAACAAGCAAGGAGCTGAAGAAGGCGCGCGTCGTTCGGAAGCTCTGCGCCAGCCTTCTTCCCAATCCACACCAGGAAATCAACCGAAGGGCCCAGGACAGAGAGGATGTGGCGTGGGCACTCGCGCGCAGCATGCCAGGCCTGCCCGAGGAGGCACGCCACGAAGCGGGACCCGGGGTGGTAGACTTCGCAGGGTTCCCCGTCCACTCCAGGGGCACTACCGCTGGGGGCGAGCACCGCCGTGGCAATCTCCCCCCACCCGGGAGCGATGTTGCTTGGTCGGGGGGCCGGGCCCCTGCTGCTGAAGTACCAGTTATGAATGCGTTCGGCAGTGACAGGCATGGGGGGCGCAGACTGCCAGATGAAGCTGCGGCTACACGTCAGCTGGCTGGTCGCGCCAAGTGCCGCCTGGGGCGCGGACGCCTATTACGGAATGAAATGCGACGAAGACCTCCCGACCCGCCCTGTGGCGCGCTGCCAGGGGTGGCCGTTCCACCCCAGG